TTCGTTGCAGGGCTGCTTTTCTAAGAATTCAACTATAATTTACAATATTGCATATGTTGATCTGAAAAGTTGAGATCAAATCATTATCATAAAGCGCATAGGTTCAAGAGTAAAGAAAATGTTGAATTAGTTCGATTTGCGCAAGAACATTTGTGCCAATAATAATATATCGCACTTGTAATGCCGGCAATAGTCGCCTTGAATACACAATGGGATGCATAATTTTTCGAAGGTATAAAGAATTCGTTTTGACATTGCTAAAACAAATCAATAAGTCCATACATACGCTCTTTGATAGCGTGTCAAAAGCGGTACTTCGTGAATTCAACTTTGAAAGTAATTTGGAACCAAAAAGTGGAATACAAGAGTCCAAAAATTATGCACGTCACTGCCCACAAAGCGCTAAATGACGCATAATCCATGATTCGCCACGAATGACGTGTGTGTTCCGAGCGCTGCGTCTACTACGTAATTGCACCATATACTTTGCAAATGTTGGTCGGTTTATCTTGTTCATGATGCAAATAGTCGTTGTTCGCATGATATATGGTTGTCTAAGGAATACATATTATGATCTGTGATTCAGAATTTTACGCACAAAACAGAGCGTGAGCTGCTTCATTTTATTTCTATCTACCAACTTTGGCATGGACGTTTTTAAACAAAAATGATTTGTACGAAAAACCCAGCAAAATGTCAGAAATGGGTTATCAAACAGTTGAAAAATTGACTTTACCGGATTTTGTTCGAAAGCAGCAGAAATTCCTCGTCATAAAAATGCAGCACAAACAAACAATCTGCGCAGTTTTGACTTCTTGTGCTCAACGGAGCATAAAAAGTCAGAAACCATAAAAATTCATCTCATAGTGGATGATTGCGTGTATAAGAGGTAAAGACTTATTTGTTCAGGCAATGCTCATTCATTGTCCGCAAAAACTTCTGCGTGAATAAATCCAACGAAAAGTAATCACCTTGAAGAGAAAAGGAACAAGTGAAAAATCGTATAGGAATGTCCTAAGCATCATTTCAAGCAGAATAGCTCCCTTTTATTTACTAAAGTTTCGATATCACTGTTCGATTCGCTCCCCCCCCCCCCTCCCCTCCCTTTTTATAAAGAAGATCACTAGTATTATCGAAACTTTGTTGTCAAAGATGGAGGAAGCAAAGGCTGGATTTATATTAGGAACCGTTTATTTTGAACTCCATACTAATTTTACCTTGGTACCTCAAAAGCGCTGATGTCGCAAGACATGGTAAAGACAAGTGACAAGTGTATTCAACAAAAGTTCAAAAAAAAACTGCTATAAATCAAACCATTCCTCCTTCACTCACCTCCCATTTTATAACCAGGGGGAAGAAGTTCAACAGACGTTTTAGAAAAAGTTCAACAGACGTTTTAGAAAAAGACTCGTTGATTATTCAAGCAAGTGTACATTTCACCGACCACCAAGAAGATCGTGGATGCCAGAAGCGAGAAACAGGACATCCTGCGAGCTACGTGAAGACAGGCCATCTAAGTATTTGACCGTAGGTACATCCAAGTGCGTAGTATATTTAAATATAGTCCACCACAGCTAAACATGATAATTCCGGATCTACATTAAAGACAAGGACAGTTACAACTGAATGCATGTAAGAAACACAACGAAAAACATGAATAAAGAATCAAATACAGGTCTTCAATTTTGCTGCAATCAAAATCTTCTTCAAAAAATTGAATCGCGAGGGCCTCAATATGATTCTAAGTGTGGTAAATGGCTAAAGATGCAAAATTACCAAAATAAAATTATCTGCTTGAGCTATGGAAGAGTTTGGCCACGTGACTGTTTACCGTATTTGTATCTGTTATTTGATTCTTTCAAGTTTGTTCGAATCAGGTCCCATTCATAAAGAAAGAAAATTCAAGGGTGCTGTGGGAAACCAGAACTTGACAGTGAAATTGAAAATTCCTCAAGATACTTAGCAAATTGTGAAGTCCCTGAGGGCTCTTCCTGCCTTACTTCTGCATTCTCTCTTCTTGGGAATGTTCCCTAGTCGAAGTAGCCTTTCCAGAAGAGACGCACATTTGAAGATTTTCAAACTCTGATTTTGAACCTGCGTTCCTTATCTAAGGAGGGCCTCTGGACAAGGAGTTATGAGAGTTTTCGCAGTGAAAATTTCAACAGGTGACAGTTAAAGCTGTCCAAGAAAGGAGGATTTCCTGCCTGCTCGCTCAGTTTGCCATTATGCATCTGTAAGTCGGAAAGGATGTCACCATTGATATTATTCTGATCTGGCGTTCAGTCTTCTGACCGATAAAACACTCATGACTTCTTATCCAAAGGCACTCCGCAGATAGGAAGATAGATGACTGCAAGCATCTCGACTGGAAAGATCTCCTCCCTGTTAGACGTTTAGGTTCCTAGTAAGCTCAATATCAAACGTAAATAGACATCTTGCACCGCCAACAACATTTGCGCGAAAAAATACTGTAATGTCCACAACACTTGCGCGTAAAAAGTGGCCGTAGTTCATACATTTCTGTGTTGCGCCAAACCATTATTTACGCGCAATTTTTGCTGGCACGGGACAACACTAGCTTAACCGTCAATTATACAGGGTGTCCCAAAAAAATGTGCACACTGTTTGATCGTTGATAACTCGCTTGCTTCGATGTCTCTCACCAATCTTTAGGTAACTTTTGTAGAATGAGGTTCGACTTGGATTTACAGTATGAAGTGAATCTCCGATCTCTTTTCGCTACTGTATGATTACGGTATGAACTTTCAGGACACAGCGCCATTGTGAAATAGGCCGTTCACCAAAAAAAAATGCCAAAAAACTTTGGAAATTTGTGTAGCAGGTTTTTGAGCATGCTGATTTCATTATGCAACTTTTTACGAAAATTCTGAGCCTTTTTAGAGCTGTAAACACATTTTTAAACAACACTGAAGAAGCAGTCGATACTGTTTGCCTAAAATAACTTATGAGGAAGCATGACCGTGTTGTACAAACTGCATGTGTGTAATCAGCGACTCTAATTAGCCTAATATTGAAGTTTCTGGCTTGTTTGGTCCCTCTCCGGGGCGAAATGCGACTCTTATTGCTTAGCCTCTTCAAAGCTTCAACCGTAATCCTACAGTAATGAATGAAGGTCGGAATTTTGCTCCAAACTGCAAATCTAAGTTGAACCTCGCTTTACAGAATGCTACTTGAAGATCGGCTAAAAACATCGAAGCAAGCGAGATATCAACAATCAAACGGTGTGCACATTTTTGGGACACCTGTATTAGTTCTATTAGGTTGTAAAGAAAGTTCCCGGGCACTTGCGAAAATCTTTTTCAAATCGCTGTAACTTCAAGCAGATTGAATCTTTTTTGAAACAAACTTCATTGCAGAGACAATTTTGTCCGCAACATATGTTTGTCTTGCTGGCTTTTCAGCACCTTACTGCGGTGCACCAGCATGCGCAGAAGGGAAAAAGGTCGACGCGAAAAGTGGCCTGTTTGTGCAGGATTATCTCAGGCACGATGAAAGCTGGAGAGCTCAAATGCTGTAGTCATATAGAAGTCTGCTGGAGCTGTCATGGAGACCATTCAAATTCTTGAAGGACCACCTGCAAAAAATTTTTTCCAGAAAGTTTGAAAAATCGACCATTTTTTGCCCCTAAAAATGCACTATCTTTCGAGAGTGACTTTGAAGTCTTAACGTTCTGCATAGGTTGGACCAAATCTTTGATTGCTGCGAACATTGTTGGGGTAATGCCTTACGTATCTTTTGGACCCGACATCCACACGTGGCGATCCCCGCACAAGCGACGCCGGCTGCGAAAAGAGTTTTAGTCAGAGGCAAGTTCGACAGCTTGTAATTTTTGAGCGCAAATCGCAGAACTCGAGTGCAGCTGCGGGTCAGAAGCTAACAGGCTTCTCAATAAGATCACCCATGATTTAGACAAAATACTTTGAAATGCACAAAAAAATGGCCGTAGGAAGAAGAATTGTGAAATTTTTATGGTTGGAAAGATTTTTCTTCTTGATGTGCAGATCAAACATGTCTTGGCATCGATAAGAATCGGAAGCCGTATTGAAAACTTCAGGCTTCCCTCTACTAAACAGTATACAAAACTTGGTGTCAAAGTCCTACCGAGCGCCGAAGAAATGCGTTTGAAAATGAAACTTCCAAAAGTGCCCGGGAACTTTCTTTAAACCTAATATATAATGGGTATTACTCTTCCGATATATCCGTACCCTGATGAGACTGCATGATGTTTTGTAAAAATCGTCCCGGACTGCGCGTGTTTTCCTGCCCGTCACATTTTCAGCGCTAGGCTTATCAAAACAATTTTAATTCTCACATGTTGCGTCTGCACCTAGCATGAAACAATCAGTCTGATTCCTGACATCACAGATCACGTTTCGACTATCAAAACTATGCGCATTACGTAGATGGGTTATGAATCGCAGCCCACGTGCAGTGTATGGACTGATTGTCTGTCTCACGGGCGAGCGTAAGTGTAATTAACAGTTCTTATGGGAAAGAGATCGATGCTCTCACAGCACATTTCGGTTTTCGATCTATGGGATATGCAGTATTTAGGCTGTAAAAGATAACTGGAGGAGGCGGAGGGGAAGCAAGGGTAAAAGTGACAAAAATTGTGGAAATTTTGCAAGGGAGTTTACAACATTGAACATCTGTGCGGGTGTGATAATTTTTTTGTCACTCATCTAAATACTGTAAATTTACACAGCAGATGCAGTTTACCCACAAATGAACCCTCTTCCTTGTTTAAAAAAATTATTTGGATATTTGCGGGGTATACTGTATCCGTGGCAGTAAAAAACCCATGCCAAATATCTTTTTGCTTGCACAGCTGGATTTTACGATAGCAAATTTTTCATTGCAGGTTTGCACAGAGCATGCAATCTTTTCCCGAAAAGGCTTTGCTCTTCTTCACTCACAGGACATAGATCATAAATTACTTTATACAAGTAGAAAATTCCAGAAAGCGCTCAAATACCAAAATCGAGCTAAAAAGAAGAACAAAAAGAAGAAAAAAGTCACCGTGGAATGGGAAGATCAGAGAATAATTACATCGAAACAATGAGCAAGAGCTTTGATGCAATCCTATGATAGCAAAATGGAAGAATGCAACATTTTACGAAAAATTGATTATATGAAGGAAATGAATACATCACAAGGTGTTGACTAAATTATGTACAAATACGGAATCATGCATATTTCATTGCTGTGCATATAGTTGTGTGATTGCGAACGTTTTCTACATCTACATTTTCTATCCACCTCTTGTTTTAGAAGGGTTCGCAGATTGAGATATCACAGCCTTCATCGGATGATTCGCCAACATCGGCCAGATCGGCTTCATTTAGGTGGCGTTCACAGAACGAGCGGATTCGTAAAGCGGCCTCTTCGCTGATTTTCTCGCTTTGAGTAAGGACTAGCCGGATCCAGCCGGGAGAGGAGAAAGCCGATCCGGGAAGGCAGTAGACTGATTCTTCCTAAAAATAAGCAAATTCAGATTGGGAGTTAGAGGATTCGCAAAAAGTGACAAACCTGAATAAGATTGCACGAGAACTGTATGTCATCTCCATAGAGCGATTTGTCCAGACTAATCATCATGTACATAGCGCCATGGGGTCGTAGGCAATGCACCCCTTTGATCCCTTTGAGAGTTTTATTCATCACCCCCGCATTTCGCGAAATAACCCGTCGATTGTGCTCAAAATACTCCTCCGGGGTGTCGCGGAGGATCTTTGGGAGAGCGCCCTGGATGAGCGAACAGGGACCAACGATTTTCTGCGACAGAGCCACGAGTCCCTTGCGAACTTCGCTGAGCACCCGGAAGCGATCGTGCACAATCAGCCATCCCAGGCGCCATCCTGGTACCATCCATCGCTTCGCCAGTCCGTCGCAGGTGATTATCGGAACCTAAAAATCAGCGCTATCAACTCTTCACTCTGCGTAGGTGACTAGACTATATCGGAAAAGAAGCGAGCGAACCTTAGGCGAAAGAGTTGCAATCGGATATAACACAGCACCGTCGTACGTTAAATCTCCATAGATCTCGTCCGCAATGATCACAAGACGATGACGACTGGCGAACTGCAAGCAGAAAGAGAACCAGTCTTTTTCATCCAACCCCACCATCATCACACTCTAACGTCTCCCCCTACTAAGCACTAAAAGGCCGGAGCGTAACGTTGACAGATTGAAGAGAACGGTTACTTACAGCTAGAATATCCTGCAGATGTTCCTTGCTGAAAACGACTCCGGTTGGATTCCCAGGATTGTTCACAATCAGCGCTTGGGTACGGTCGTCGATCAGTGTCTCGAGATATTCGAGGTCGATTTGTCCGCCATTTGCCATGTCGACTTTGTAGGCGCGATCCTATAAAGGACTAATTTTTTTCCATTGAAGAGAGGATAGAAATTCGCCTCTGAATTCGTTTGATACAACAGTTTAGTAATTATGCTCCCACAATAAATTAATATTCTTATTTTCAATGGTCCTGAGTGGAATGCTTGCAAACGCTGCTTTCTGCTTCATTAGTGAAAATATATTGTGGGCATTTTTCAATGATTTCGCTGAGAATTTTCAAACAAAATTACATATTCAATATGGGTTCTGAGTGGAATGCCTGCATACATTCCACTTCCCTAGTGAATATAAACTTGTGCGCCCTTTTTATCAGATATTTTGTAGGATGAAATTTTGCAATTTTTCGTGATACAAGCCTCAACTTAAATTCACCTCAATACCATGCGGTCTGCACAACGTCGAATAGAGTGGAAATCCTGGCTGAGGGATCAGGATGTTGTCCCCAGGATTTGCCAAACCTTCGATGGCCATCTGCAAAGCGTGCGAACAACCACTGGCCAGAATGACGTCATCGGCGGTAATTGGAGCTTGTGGATGAGTGTATTTAGTGGCAACAGCTTCACGTGCAGCCAAAGCACCTACGGCTGGTCCATAGCCGTCAAACCTTGAAAATGGAGTTAAAATACGAATTTTACCCGATATTGGGCCTAATCTTACATATGCGAGCTTGTTGCTTCCAAAAGTGCATCAATTGCGACTTGACTTGGTGGCAAAGCCCCGGAAAGGGTCGGGTCGCCCAGATGCAATTTGATCGCGTTTTTGTTCGGATTCGGCGCTACCGTAACGGCGTCAGCGATTCGTCGGATTGGATTGACGGTGTTCACTGCATGTGCTGATTGGGACATTGGCGACCAATCCTTACGATTGCGCGTATTCCGTTGCTGGAAAGGAAGTTGGTGAAGTTTTGGTGGACATTGAAAAATGTAAACAAACTTACCATTTCTCTCAACAGATGCTCATGATTGTGAAATTTCGAGATGAGTCTCGCTTTTACCGGATAATTATTACCGTCGACAACTTCGGGGTGCATAATTACTCTGAAATGAAGCATGCAATTGATGTGAAATTGTATAGCAACGGCAGATACGCCGCAATCGGGACAAATACGAGTCGGGCGGCAAAGACAACGGTTAGATGGTTAATGCTTGTCCCAGCACTGGCACGCGGCTACCGCCGGGACAGGCAACCGAGTGCGAAGATTTTCGCCTGCGGATGAGGTTATAAAGAGTGCGGAGCTGTGTCAGCGTGAGTAGTTCGACGAGTAATGTGATTGTCGTAGCGCGTTCCTTCCTTCTTTACAACCCCGGTGCGCTCCATCCGGGGCGCGCTATCTGGGCCCCGCCCCGACCTGTGGCCCGAGTTTCAACGCCAACTCGGCCACGTGATGCGCCATGGCGACGAAATGCGGACGTCATCGAAGCAGCACCGGTTTCAGCGCCGCTAGCTGTCGGCGTGTCTGCCCCATGGCAGCTATCGTAGCTCCGACAGTAGCGACACCCGAACGCACGCTGAAAAACGGCAGCTCCGCCCACAGCTCGACTGCCATTGGCTGTTTGTGGGCGTCAGCGCAATCTGTAAAGTGTGCGAATTCTCGTGTAATCTATTGCCTTTAATTAGCTAACGAGCTCGTAAACTGACCCATGCACAGAAGATAAGGCAATGGTAGACGACGCATCAAACAGTCGCGTTTCGTCGCCAGCCTTGCACCTTTCCACGCTACGCGCGCACTCGCACATGCCGGAACTTCGGCTATATTTAGCGCGAGAGAGAGAAAAAGTGATGCAATGTGTAAGGCGATATCATCAGTCAGTCTGATGCAAGAAACTGCACTCAGAATGCCACAACGTGGAGAAAAAGTTCAGAGACGCGCGCAAAGTAGCAGAAGTGCAATCTTGCGTCACTTTCGTTCGTTGCTTCATCAACTTATGCGCACTTGCAAACTACCGTAAAAGATGATTTAACATCTTTCCAATCTTTGTTCTTCCTGCGCAAGAGTAATGGAGCACAGATTACAGATACGTTTATAATCAGACATTTGTGACTCTGTGAATTTGCACACAGCGCAACACCTCATATCATGGAGCCAAGTCAGTAAGAATCGACAATACATTGGAATGAAATGCCAGAGTAGTTTTGAACCTATGCATATCTATAGAGGAAATAATTGAAATATGGGATGAATATGATAACAGGCAACGCGCAGGCACACAAGTCGTCGAAGGTTGTGCTTAGTGTGCAATGCACGAATTTAGTGAAAAATGGCTTGATAAATATATTCAGTAATTTTCTGCTCAATATGGTGTGCTTGCACTGCGGGTAAAATGCGGCAAGATGTCAGTAATGCCGGCATTTTGCGGGCGCAGTTGGCCGGCGTCACAGGAGCAGCTATTTGTTCACGCGCAAATCTTAACGCATTTCACCTGCAGTGCAAACACACTGTGTTAAGCGGAAAATCTACTCGACTGTAGCTGCCTGCTCGGAGCCAGTTTTTCGATTAATTCTTTTAGTTGATATTCTATTGTGGTCTTGACTTAAAAGTTGAAAAGTCCAAATAGTATTTACAAAAAATCGGCGACACCTATATCTAATAGAGACTAGGAGACTCGACAAGGAATGGATACTTGGTCGAAGTGGCGTTTCCATACAAGATGTGTACTGTCTTGTAGAGCATGAAACGCTGAGTTCAAATATACTTCCGTATCTGCAAAGCGCTTCTGGGAGGAGAGTTATGGAAATTTTTTCATGCAAAAATTTAAAAATGCCGCTACAATAAAATCCTTTACAACCTTAGTCCGTGATCTCAAATGGGGCCAACATTACTACCAGGACGTTTCATGGAATAAAGACCTTCAATCTAATCAACTCACGTCAGTCATTACTCCTTTCAAGCGCCGGAAAGACCGCAACACCTATTTTTACGTTAGCCAGATCATTGAATTTTTACCTCAAAAATTCCTCAAACCTTCCCTCCCATAAGAGCTTTGCAGATAACGAAAGCAAATTTGGAATCAGCGTTTCATGCTCTATAGGATAGTTTACATCTCCTATAGAAACGCCACTTCGATCAAGTATCCTTCCCTTGTCGAGTACACTTTACACACATTTTTTACAAACAAGCTGTGAGTTAACAAGTTTCTACTTTTGATCTACATAATCTAGAATTATTTTTTATCGGAACCAGAGGAAAATGAGCACTTCTTCAGACAATCATGGAAAGTGCTTTCAAGTTTTCTAGTCTCAGAAAAGATGATATGCAAGAGTGCGCCCATGCAATGACAATCTTAGCCTTTAAGTCAGCCTCTTATAAGAAATTCCGAAAGTTCAATGATGATTAGTGATTTGATGATTGTAGAATCGTAATGATAACAACACTCTCATGTCATCATTCTTCGCAAAACTTATTGGCCTATTAGACTGATAAACACTTTGAGACTACGTCATTTATTCTTAGACTAAAAGAGTATAAGTAGATAATTTCGTATAAAAGGCTGGCTTAGAGGATAAGATTGTCATCGCTTGAATGCTTTGATTATTCTTGCATATCATCTATTCTGAATCTAGGAAACTTCAAAACACCATGCACACATTGTCAAAACATGATTGAACTTGTTTTCTCGTGTTTCACGAAGTGAATAATCCTAGAATTAGAGAGATCACAAGTATGAACTTGTTAAGCACAATTATACCTGTAGAGGCAGCGTTCCAAAGCTACTCAAGTCTGTCTCATTGTCAGAACAGATGATGTATACATTCGTCATGGAAGGAGTGCTGCTCTTCTGGAAAGTTTTTCTTCCTTATTTTTGCGCGGATTACCTGTTTGCCACGTGTCAAAATGGACCTTAGTCATTTAAACGGTCATAATAACTGACGTAACAGGGCGGTTTTAGGTTGAGTCACGAATTCCATTATTGGTCCCAGCGCAAGGAATCACCGCAATTTGCAGAAACACTTGACCTCAATGAGTGAGTATTTTTCGTTTTTCAACTGTTTATTGTTAGATTACTGGTTGAAGCGCAGTCAAACTTCATCTTTAATGATATTTGTTTCGTCAAACCACTCTTTTTACTTTTATTCTCCTCCTGACAAACACTTTTTCAGCTATCTAGAGGTTTGCATCTCCCAGGCATCGGGCGGAAACTTCATCAGAGTTTCTTGAATCAAGAAAGCGGTCAGAAAATTTTTTGAAATGGGACGCGCATGGTAGGTAATGTCTGCAAGTGTACATATCAGGGTATGAAACAACAAAAAAATGTATTTTTATAAATGTTGTTTCTCCCAATCTTTTGCAAGCGACGCTCTTTGCTGCGGGTGACGTCACCAGAAAAGTGGACGAGTTATATCACATGGTTGACGAAGACGCACGCATGACACTACAAAGCATTTAGTACATCTGTGTCAATGTAGCGTAGCGGGGAGGGGGACTCAAAAATAAAAATATTTTTTGGAGTTTCGTAACGCCTTTTTTCAAAATTTCGGGGTCACGTGGAGGCAAAAATCTTTGAGCATCTCAAAAAAGGATCAAATCTTCCTATCCCCCCCCCCCCCACCGGGCGGACGGAAATTCTGAGATCGCCACTCTATGCCACATCTATGACCTACTGGATATGATAAAGGTACGAGAGTGAACGAGCACGCTTGCGCGCACGACTCGTTCTGTAATTCATTCTCCGTCGTGCTCAAATCCTGGCCTATCGCACCCAGCGTGCTGACCAATCAGAGACGTGCTTCTACAAAGCTTATATTTACGTTTCTGATGTATGAATGACTGAGTAAATGCTGGATCCCGTACAAAATGTACAGAGTCACTTCGATGTAACACACTTTTGAGCATGTAAGGAATAATTTATCGCTTGTCGTAAACATGGTAAATCCTTCGTCCCCAATTAGGTTCCCTAGTGCAAGGAACCAAATGGTTTTTTTGGGAAAAATCGCTGACAATTCTTCTTTGCTAAAGTAATTGGTTTGATTTTCAAATGCTTAATTCCAGAAAATCGTAGCTAGCTTCTTGATTTTTTGATCGACTTCACACTCTTACGAATCTAGCTTCAACAATTTTGGTATTCTCAAAATTTGATGCGGGCCCGACCGTGCACCCTACAAATGGCAGCTTGGACATCCATCTGATATAGTAAGAGTCCTGGGGCAGGTTTTCGTAGATTTCCCCTGCACCCTCCCGCGCTCAGTGCGCTTTTATTCTAGCCTCTTTAGGAAATCTTTATGCTTTTCTTTCTTATGACTTTGTTGTTTTGTAATCTCTCTATTTTAAATGGATGAATTTATACGAGTTTTAAAGGCAGCGTCTCGGCAGAATGACAACTTTAAGATATTCATCGTTGTCGGATCCCCTGGACGAGCTAAGTCCAAGACTGTGCTAGCAGCTACGAAAGATATAAATGACCGCATTTTCAAACGTGAAAAGTTCTATTTGGGCGAAAGGCGTACGCCTGCCCTTTAGAGCGCGATTGGCTCGTGAGTGGAGACACCGCACCCATCTCGGCGGCAATTGGATTATTGGCTCCAGCAGCCACTTTCGCGACCCGCCCAAACAACACTTTCACGTCCGGGAAAAGCGAATCATTAATACCTTTGAGAGCTGCTAAGCACAGATTTAGACTCAGCTCATCCAAGGGAATCAAGAACGATGAATATCCCGGAGTTGTCATTCTGCCGAGCCGCTGCCTTCAAATCTCGAAGAAATCTGCTCCAGTAATTTCTCTATTTTTTTCGATAATGAGATGCCTCTTCAAGGTCTCTATTTACAGAATAGGCTTGTTTGATTGCTTTTGTGGTGTATAGGTGCTTCTAGTTCCTTTTTAATTCGCTAACGGTACTCTGCTTGTACAATTGTGGTCTCAGGCTTACACTACTTAGCTTCTTCAAACCCGCAGAATTAACATCTCAACAATGATCCTCGATTTTTTCTACTATTACGTTATACTATTTTTACCCATCAGTGGTAGTTTAAAACTAGAATCTATGAAACTGACTGGAATTTGAACTCCAGTAGAAGTCTTAAAAGTTCTCTTATTGCCTATTT